TGTTTGAATCCCCCCTAAGTGTTATCCATTAGAGGCTGGTACAGAACTTGCTTTGAGGAACAGATTTAAATGTTTTGCAAATAATCTACCTGGAAAGATAACCACATTGTTGGTTTATACTTAATTTGATTAACTATTCTAACATTTTTTCATAGAAAGAATAAAGGTAAGCTGCCACCTCAGTACGCATAAATATCTCTAATGATATTTAAAAGCAGGGTCCCTATCTGTATTGGTCACCTTCTTAACCTTGCTATTTAACTCCTGGTACATTATAGGGTAGAATCAACTAATATAGGTTGAATTAATAAACACTATTCAAGAATAAGATATATAGAAAATGAGAGGTTCAGAAGTAGCTTAGGCATAAAGACAGATTATTTCAATAGGCCTCTTTGTGTAAATATTTAATTTTACCTTACTAGGCTTCCATTTTGCTCCTTTTGCTAGCTTGCTGTAATACATATAATATTATAAAAATTATTTTAGACAGTTAAAGACGTTATTTTAACACCAATTATGTTTTTAAAGGAGGAAAAACATTCCTTAAAAGACAGATTGATGCTCAGAGCCTACTTTAATACGTAGCAGAAAAGTGCTGTTGACATCCGTATGTATGCTTCCAGAGAAAGAGAAAGATGCTCGGAGATGAGATGCAGGGAATTCTGTTTCTCTGGAAACTAAGAAATTGGAGATAACTTGATAATCATGAGAAAAGCCATAATCAGTCCAGAATTTGGATGCTAATTGTGATTCTGAAAATGAAAACGTGATCCAGAAATTGAATTAGTGCCTAGATCATTGTTAAAAGATGATTTTTTAAAAAGCATTAATTATTGCTTTAATGCAAATATAATGCATGCACATATCAAAAATTTATTTAGATGGGGCCCCATGTAATGGGTTAAGCCACCACCTGCAGTGTTGGTATCCCATTGTTCCTGTTCCAGCTGCTCTGCTTCTGATCCAACTCCCTGCTGGTGTGCCTAGGAGAGCAGTGGGGATCATGCAGCTTCTTGGACCCATACAGCCATGTGAGAGACCTGGATGAGGCTCCTGATTTCTGGCTCCAGTCTCCTGGCTCCTGGCTTTGGCCTGGCTCAGCCTGGGCCATTGCAGCCATTTGGGGAGTGAACCAAGAGACGGAGGATCTCTCTATCTCTTCCTCTCTCACTCTGTAGCTCTGCTTTTCAAGTAGATAAAATAAATCTTTCAAAAAATGTATTTAGCTCTAAGTTAAAATTTTAGGGGATCGGCCGGCGCCGCGGCTCACTAGGCTAATCCTCCGCCTAGCGGCGCCGGCACACCGGGTTCTAGTCCCGGTCGGGGCGCCGGATTCTGTCCCGGTTGCCCCTCTTCCAGGCCAGCCCTCTGCTGTGGCCAGGGAGTGCAGTGGAGGATGGCCCAGGTGCTTTGGGCCCTGCACCCCATGGGAGACCAGGAAAAGCACCTGGCTCCCTGGCTCCCTGCCATCGGATCAGCGCGGCGCGCCGGCCGCGGCGGCCATTGGAGGGTGAACCAACGGCAAAGGAAGACCTTTCTCTCTGTCTCTCTCTCTCACTGTCCACTCTGCCTGTCAAAAAAAAAAAATAAAAAAAAAAATAAAAAAAAAAAAAAAAAATAAAAATAAAAAAAAATTTAGGGGATCCATTAAGATGTTACAGTACTTTATGATAGATAATTGACAGATAAATTGTGTAGACCTGTGGATAAATAGTTACATAGATTTGATAGCTATAGATAGATACGTAGAACATTAGTCAATATTCACAATGTAACAAACACCTGAGAGAAGCAAATGATAAGGGAAGTTTATTTTGGCTCATGATTTTGGTGGTTCACCTTCAAAGGCCAGGTGGCTCCAATTGTCTGGTGTCTGCTGGTGGTGATAATTGGATAATGGGAACAGAGGAAGGATCATATGTCCAGCCAGGAAACAGAGACAGGGAGCATGCTCATCTCCATGTCCATGTGGTCTTGAGGCCACTATGATTGAATCGTGGGTGCCCCCCACTTTGACAACCCAATCCAATCTCATCACTTCAAATACACCTCACCTTCAAAGCATACAACTGGATTAAATATTAACCCTTACTCTACTACTATAAACACTAACACATTAATCATTAGCAAAAGACTTTGGGGGTCAAGTACCTATTACATGGGGCTTTGGGATACACTAAATAGCCAAGATATAGCATATAAACAGTTACACAGCTAGAGATAGAGAAAGCAAAAATAGAGGGAAAGGCAGAGACGAAAGAGAGAATGATAATGGAATGTTGAAATGAATTTACAAATAGATGCGACAGATCTGTTCAATAGAAAATAATCCATTGTATTATACCACAACCTCCATAACCAAAATTGATCCAGCTGTGTTAACAATGACTTTTTTTCCAACAACCAATAACCAGTACTCTTTTGGTTCTAAGTCTCTCACAAATTTTCTCTATGTCAGTTTAAACCAGACAAGGGGTGTTTTTGCCCATCAGAATATTTTAGTAGAAGACCCACTGCTATCTGTACAAAAGAAAGCCAAGTACATTAAGGCATTTACAAAGTCAAAGGAGAAGCAGTTTATTTCCTATGATTTCTGACTGAGAAGTGTGCACTTGATTTGGGATTGTAACATATCAGTTTAATGAGACAATATTTAGTCTGATAATGAGTAGAAAAATCAATTTTACAAATATTCATGATTTTTCATGCTAAAAAGTAACTTACTAGATATGTATTTTAAATTTTTCTTTGATAAAATCAAAACTAACATTTTAAATAATAAAGTATATATTGAATTTAAAATTTCAATTGCCCAAATTATTGTGAATTTGATTATAGTAGATAAGTGAATGGCTTGCTCATTGTTGATTGGGTAAGATTCAACTCTCCACATCCTTACTTTAGAGGCACTATAACAAATCACCACTATAAATTACTAACAGCACTGTAAATAACATGACATATGGTTTTCTTTAGTTAACATGGTACAAAAACACAGGGTAATGAATGTTTCATTAATAGTTGTAGTCTGGACACTGATTTTACAGGTGATGTAAAACCCATCTTCCCTGGTAGAAAGGCAACAATTGAGGCCTAAAGACAAGAAAAAGAACTGAAACTTTTTGTTTTGCTTCATGCTCATAATCTTTCCATATTAGAAAAGAAGCCCAAAACAAATATTTGGGTTGTTTTGAGTGTTTATAAATGTAGCAGCTAGCTTGAAAATTTTGCATGACTTAATAGAGTATGTGATATATTTAACCAGAAAGAGTTGAAGGCTGTTGATCATTAGTTTTTCTCAATGACTTCCCAAAAGGACTAGAGAGAGAATTAATTTAAATGTCAAGAGCCTTGTTGTGTAGTATATCAATACAACAAAGTTTCTGTGATTAAACTGATTTATTTGATTAATATGATTTTTACATTTGGTAAAGAAACAGCAACTCCTGCATTATATTATAGACCCTTTTAAAGACACATGTAAAATCATCCAAACATCAATCAAAATAAATTCAAAAATAGAAAACAACCTTTCTTCATTTTTTGGAGTATATTTGAAATAGCTTGAAATTTGGTGGACCAAATTCAGAACCTTGAAAAAGTCTCAACATTTTACAAGAGTGGTAAACCAAAAGAATATTTCACTGCAAGTATATGCTTTAGTCAAAACATAAATTTGTTTTAATGAATTCTGGGAACTATTTTAAAGGGGAATATGTACAAATTTTTCCACATCAATATTCAGAAATCATTCAAAGCAATGATATTGTACTTGCTAGCATATTCATTTTTTACTCCACTAAGAACTGGACTGAGATCACCAGCTTATTTTTCAGACCAAAAATATAAATGTAGTTTTGTTTATAGTATTGTGTGTATATCTATGTTTATAAACAAAAGTCAACATATTTCAAGTAAATTACTATTTTCATAGGAACAACCAGCTAATGTCCATAACCTTGATTTGAGGTGTAAAATACCTATCGGAACCTTAAAAAATAAATATGTATACACACAAAAATATATAATTTAACTTAATATAATCTTAAATTTGCAAAAGTGACTTTGTTTTTACATAATTAATTCTTAAAAATATTGATGCTCTCTTAAACCCTACAATTTTCCATTTAAGTTGACATGTTTTAAAAATATTTTTAAAATCTATTTTGCTTTTTTAAAAACAGAAAACTGATTTTCACTCTGGAATTGGTTCTTTCTTTGAAGTTTAGATAAATTCTGCATGTAAATGTAGAGTATAGTGAAAGGATTAGTACAAAATGCAGTAAAAAGAAACATGTAGAGTTCCTTTAGCAAGTGCTACAAAATCGTACTTAGCATGAAATTGTAATCATTTTAAAAAGATTTATAATAGCTCAATTGCCAAGGAATCATCAATAATATTTCTATATTTTGGCAGGAGATTAACAATAAAGTTTAGGAAGCATTTTTAAATTAGAACAGAATTTTAACACTATTCCTGTATTGGGTCTTGCTGATATTTTCTAGTGAAACTATTAGTCTCATAATGGAATACCATTTTAAGAACAATGTTAAACAAAATCCCCCAAATTAAATCATTGTCTATCTCATCTAAAAGAGGAGAAGAAAAATTAGAAAAAGAGAAGAGAGTCACAAAGTGAAAAGAATAAAATTGTCATTGGGAAAATCCAAAAGTAGTTACTATAAAGTATTAATCACCAACCTTATGATTTCTTATCTACATTAAATGCTATACACATTTATTTTTTCATAGTTTTATTAAAATTTTATTGCTTCTAGGTCATAGTCACTATCTTTATGACCTAAAAAACCTGTGTCAGGAATATCAAGCAATTGGCAACTATCCTTTTTTTAAAGGTAGAAAAAAAAGGATGACTATTATATTGTAATACTTTGTTCTCTCTCTCCTCCTCTTTCTATTTTTTTTTGTTTTTGTTTTTGTTTTTATTTTTGGATGGTTGGTGATTTGTTTGCTTCTCCTGGTTCCTGTTGATCAGTGGTGTTTGGCCAGTTTGTATTTTTCCAGACATCACTCCACGATGTTGTTGAGGTGTATGATGGGCCAACTCAGCAATCTTCTCTGTTATCTTCCCTCTCAGGATCCCATTCAGGTATCCTTTAATAGAACTGCCAATGCATCAGTTATTGATTAAAGACTGACTTTGATTAGTATTGCAGTGAAAGTTGAGATTTATGTCATCCATATTAGATATAAAGTAAACTGAAAATAGAATCACTTTTTTTAAGAATAGAAACACAATGAAGAGTAACTCAAAAGCTTAATAAAAATATAGTCAACTATTTTCTGGGTTTGTAATCAAGTAAATTTAATATTTAATCACTTAGTCTGTGGTGTTGAATGTAATATAAAATATTTAAGAATTCTTTGAAGAACAAGGCAATATGTATCAAAATGTAATTTAAGGCTTCTGGTTAAAAAGGTTACAATTGAAGCTAAACCCAAAGACAGTATGTCGTTAGCAGTAGGATATTTTAAAGTAATTTGATAGAACATAGATTGACATTTTCAAATGACAGTGTAAAATAATATAATTTGTTAGGGTTACTGAATGAAAATTATTTATGATATCTTAGTGTTTGTTTTGTTGAGTAGGAGAATCACTTCCACTGAGTTCAGGTAATCAGATCACAATTCGATTTACATCAGTTGGACCAATAACAGCTAAGGGATTTCACTTTGTTTATCAAGGTAAGTGACCCTGTAGTCTAGAAACACACTAAGGAATGATATAAATTTCCATGTTATGTTCAGAGTTATTGCATAACGAGATCTTCATAACCATATAGGAGAGAGAAAAAGTCTCTGTTTTGTTTTTTAAGCAGTTTTACCCTTTCTCCTCCCCATCACTAGAACATCACTTTGAACAATGTCAGATAAGACCTACTGCTTCATTAATCTCAATTTAAATGTCTGGTTTCCCACTTTCCAATATTTTCGTTTTAAGACATCTGTATTTTCCTGAAAATTCTTTACTGTTTACATTTTCAGTTTTCCTCATAGTCTAGCACTTTAAATAAAATAAATTGTATCCTTTGTCTTGATGTACTTAGACATGCCAAAGGAATCATTGCTCCTTTCTGAAATTACAGTTTCTGATTCTCTCAGAAGAATAGAAACTTTCTTCACAATTATGAAAGTATTTAGTACAGTAGGAAGCCCATTTACAATTTATTCTTACTTTTTGTAATCTTCCACATCATCATTAAACTAAATTAAGAGCCATCATCTGAAAGTTTTTTTGAATTATTTATGATCACATGCTCAGTCCTGTCAAGCATAAACTTTATTCCAAATAAATTTGTAAACATACATGATTTGATATTATAACACCCACTTATCCTATTGCTCAGTTGGTTATACTGTAATACTTTTATTTTAGTGGTATTTTATCCTTAACCAATTTGTGGTTTTACAAATTTAAAAAGGCACTGTAACAAATGAAGTTATACTTACTGATGTCATATAAGAAGAATTAACCTATTAGGAATTCATCTTATCATTTTAGTGCTATTGTCAACTCTTTATTCATATTTGTATGTGATTTAAAAAGAAAAAACATCCTGTTATCATTCTTTCTTACTGAACCAAAAAAAAAATAAAAAGGCACAATTCAAGGACATATGTACAAAGCCTAAAACAATTCAAATTTGATATTGTATGATTATTAAAGTACATGCTTTTATTGTTGTTAATCTGTCTGACTTACATTCTGATTAGTTTTAATGTAGTTATTGTGTTAATAATGAACATGTTTTGAAAACTAAATTTATGAACATGATGTAAAATTAAAATTGATTGCTTTTTTAAAGTTTACATTGAGAACAAAATAATGAATAAATGTGTAAAATTATTTCATGTAATGTGACATATTTTCTCAATTTCATATTCAAAGTTTAAAAAAATTTAAAAAAAATTGTAATAAACTAAAACTACTTTCTTTATATTAAAATCATAAAATAAAAGGAAAGTCATGGTGATGTTTAATAAAACAAAGAAAACTGTTAAAATTCATTTTATTGTAACTTTATTTAGTATGAGATTTAATTAGAAATGTATACAATTTTTAAATTAAAGTTGTGACACAAAGTAAAGATTTCTTTGAACTCTGTTTAGTTACTTTTTAAAATCTGTATTCATCTAACAAATATGAAACTAAAATCAACAATTATTTGTGTACAGCTGTTCCTAGGACAAGTTCCACACAGTGCAGTTCTGTACCTGAACCAAGATTTGGAAGAAGAATTGGCAATGAATTTGCAGTTGGTTCATTGATTCTTTTTGAATGTAATCCAGGATATATTCTCCATGGATCCACAGCAATTAGGTGTGATACAGTGCCCAATTCTTTGGCCCAGTGGAATGATTCCTTACCAACCTGTATTGGTGAGTATATAAATGTGTTTTCTCTGGTTCACATATTTTATACCAAAATTAGTTATCTTACATCTTTCATTTTAAAATTTCAGATCAAATAATTATGTATTAATTTTACATAATTTATGAGTTATTCTGTATCTAAATATGAAATTAAGTTGGCATTTGCTGCAATTTCCTTGGTGATGCAATCAATGACAAAATGTGAAGGATTAACTAGATAGTCCTTTATGCCTTTATATGGATGAAAGTACATATATGATTTTCACTAACACAAACTTTGATACTGCTAATATGGGATTACTAGGTGTTACAATCTTTCTAAACAAATATAATTTTTCACTTCTAAATTTTATACAAAGATTTCTATGCCAATATGTAAAAAATTCAGTTTTTTTTTTTTTTTTAAGAATCACAGACATTGATTTTTCTGGATACATTTTACTTTGAGTACTAGTTTTAGCATTAAATCACAATGAACAGCACATTAAGGCAGAGATCCTACATGAGGAGTAAGTGCACAGTGAAATCTCTTGTTGATTTAACAATTGACACTCTTATTTATGACGTCAGTAATCACCTGAGGCTCTTGTCATGAGCTACCAAGGCTATGGAAGTCTCTTGAGTTCACCAACTCTGATCTTATTTAGACAAGGCCATAGTCAAAGTGGCAGTTCTCTCCTCCCTTCAGAGAAAGGTGCCTCCTTCTTTGATGGCCCGTTCTTTCTACTGGGATCTCACTCACAGAGATCATTTATGTCATTTTTTTTTTTTTTTTTTGCCACAGTATCTTGGATTTCCATGCGTGAAATACTCTCATGGGCTTTTGAGCTGCATCTGAATGCCTTAAGGGCTGTTTCTGAGGCCAGAGTGCTATTTAGGACATCTGCCATTCTATGAGTCAGCTGTGTATCCCGCTTCCCATGTTGGATTGTTCTCTCCTTTTAAATTCTATCAGTTAGTATTAGCAGACACTAGTCTTGTTTATGTGATCCCTTTGACACTTAATCCTATCATTATGATCAATTATGAACTGAAAGTGATCACTTGGACTAATGGGATGGCATTGGTACATGACACCTTGATGAGATTGAATTGGAATCTCCTGGCACATTTCTAACTCTACCATTAGGGGTATGTCTGAAATAGCATGTGCCCAACTGTACATCTCCTCCCTCTCTTATTCCCACTCTTATATTTAACAGGGATCACTTTTCAGTTAAATTTAAATGCGTAAGAATAATTGTGTGTTAATTAAAGAGTTCAACCAATGGTATTAAGTAGAACAAAAAAACACTAAAAGGAATAAAATAGTAAATTGTTCTATTATTATTTACAATCTCACAATATTTAAGGATTATGATAATGACTTTTGGTTCCTTATGGTTCAGTAGGCACAGAAAATGCAGATTTGGAAGTTCCTTTCTTCTCTCTCTCATTAATGTCTCTACAACTTTCTACTTTAAATTACAGAGTATTATTTTCATAGAAAATGGTGAAAGTTAATCTGAGGTTAAGAAACAGTTCAGGGGCCGGCACTGTGCCTTAATAGGTTAATCCTCCATCTGGAGTGCCATTATCCCATATGGGCACCAGTTCCAGTCTAGCTGTTCTTCTCCCATCCAGCTCTCTGCTAGAGCCTTGGGAAAGCAGTAGAAGATGGCCTAAGTCCTTGGGCCCCTGCACCTGTGTTGAGACCCAGAAGAAGCTCCTGGCTGCCTGCTTCAGATTGGCGTAGCTCTGGCTGTTGTGGCCATTTGGGGAGTGAACCAGTGAACGGAAGATCTTTCTCTCTTTCTCTGTCTCCCACTGTCTGCAATTCTGCCTCTCACATAAATAAATACAATATTTACAAAAAAAGAAACAGTTTAAATGGCTTGGATTCTATGTTGCTGAAGTTTTATTGGTATTTTATTTGGAAAATAGATTTTTTAAAAGATAAGCTAAATTTTGTTTGCATTTTATAAATCTCTATATTCCACTCTCCATTGAAAAGACATGATAATTATAAAGAGGTTTTAAAAAGTTTGTGGGAAATTAGTTATTTTTTTAATTCCATTTCCCATGAACTTTTGAAGCCCCATTTTATGCAGGCATGTAACATACATGTTTATATAAAATTATATTTGATAATACAATCTGCCATAGGTCACAACAAATTAATAATGATTTTTGATTCTTTAAAACTTTCTGTTTTTTAAGATTTATTTTATTTTTACTTGAAAGGCAGAGTGACAGAGAAAGAAGGAGTGGCAAAGAGAGAAAGATCTTCTATCCACTGGTTTACTCTCCAGATGGTTACAATTGCTGAGGCTTACCCAGGCTGAAGTTAAGAGCCAGGAACTCCATCCTGGTCTCATGTGGGTAGCAGGGCTCTAAGCACTTGGACCATCATTTGCTGCTTTCCCTGGTGTCTTAGCAGGAAGCTGGATCGAAAGTGAAGCATCCAGGATTCAAACTGTTACTCAGATTTGGGATGCAGGCATTACAGACGAATGCTTAACTCACTGTACGATGATGCCAGCCGCAATTTTTAACTTTTGATAAGGTATTTGTTTATGTAATATATTTAACACTGTGAATAATATAGGGAAAGGTATTTGGCCTAGCAATTAAAATGCCTGAATCCTACATTGGAGTACCTAGGTTGAATACCTGGCTCCAGCTCTGACTGCAGCTTCCTGTTGGTGCAGATGCTGGGTGGCAGTGGTAGTTCAAGTAGTGGGTTCTTGTCATGTACATGGTAGACTTGGATTGTGTTTAAATAAAAAAATAAAAGAAAAAAATGACATAGAAAGTATACTAATTTCTACCTAGTAAAGACTGTAAAAACTGGATAAAAACTGTTGCTAGGAATGTATAGTACATGTAATTTGCATAGTGCATTTCTGCTTTAACTAGATAGAATGTGTTTTTTACCCTTAAAATCAAGATATTATTTTTTCTAAAAAAAAGCATCTTTTTTCTATTAAAGTAACTGCAATTAGGAAACCAAAGGGGGAGCCCCAGGCTAGGACAATGGTGGCTTCCCTCCCTGCAGCAGAATGGGGGAAGAAGGTGTCCCCTACATCCTTAGTGATCTCCACCCCCTCCTCACTCTGCTGATCATCCTAGGGAAAGGCTAAACCTTCTCTGGGACTGTGAGTCAATAATCCAGCCTGCTGTATCTCACCACCCTTGTCTTGAGGGAGAGAAATGTGTGCAGAACAGAGGAAAAGCGTGAGCAGGAACATTTAATATTGATAGCATTAATGATGGATGCCTTAGAGTAAAACATTGAGCAGAAGATATCACCAATGTCCAGGGATAGATGACCATAGGAAAGATGGAACAAGAACCTTAGGAATGTGGATAGGGAGCAGAAGAGGTGGGAGTGGGAAGGGCCAGCTTCTTGTTATTAGTGCCCCATATGAGGAAAGAGAAGTAGGCCTATGGTGGAAGCAGGGAGGGTTGGGCACAAGTCCCAGCACACCTTAGATGGCTCCCACAGTGAACCTGGGTCTCAGCTAGACAACAGTTGACTCAGCGTGTCTGTCACTGCAATAGATACTCAGATCCTAGGGTGAGGGAAGGTTGGACCTGAAGCCTTTAGCAAGAGGGGGGAAGCAGATATGTACTGTACAAATTACCAACTTTTCGTCCTGTATCCCCAGAGAAGCTGTCTAAAGTAGTGCAGGGGTTAGGTAAGATGAGAGAAGAGAGAAAAGTGAGTGGGAGCCCTACCTGGTGACAGAGGTAGGTTAGGGGTGTCCTGAAGCTCCAAATCAAAATGTTATTAACAGTTGTGCTGGGATAATTGAATAAACTATTATTGTCACAAATAAAAATAATGTCAATAAACTCATCATAAATTGTAGATATCATAACTAAGAAATGCATTTAATTCAACATTCTGAACATCATAGCTTAGCAATGAAGTACATCGTAGAGTATTAGTTGTTTACCTTTGTGACTGTATAGCTGACTGGGTACTGTAATTTGCTGCTGCCTGGTGTCACAAGAGAGTTAACATGAAGCACGTTTGTTGCCCAGGAAAAAAATCAAACTTCAAAATCTGAAGTATGGTTTCTTCTGAATTCTCATCACTTTTGTGCCATCCTAAAGATGAAAGATCCTAAGTCATTTTAAATCAAGAACTCTTTGTACTCAATTAAGTTGTTCTTATTGTTAGCAAATACTCCATCATAGATGGAGCTCCTGGCTCCTGACTTTGGATCAGTCCAGCCCAGCCATTGTGGCCATTTGGGGAGTAAAACAGCAGATGGAAGACCTCTCTCTCTCTCACTCTCTCTCTCTCTCTCTCTACTCTCAAATAAGTAAATAAATCTTTAAAAAAATAAACTATCTACAACTTTTGTCTAAATCTGAAAAAAACCTATTTTTCCAGAGTTATTATAAATGTTTTTCATGTCTCATATGGTCAGTCCTAATGTTTTTGCCATCAGAAACTTAAATTCTTGTAAATTAAAAGAAGGTTATTACATCCAATTAAGAATGTATCTCCTCAAGTACAGTAGCTCTCACCAGGACCCCAAGACTATGAAAGACTTTGAAACTGTTACTTGATCTCTGATTGGCCGATACTCAACCTCAGGAGTGAATAATGGTTTACTGTCCCCAGCCTGTATTTAACCTGAATTTATTTTTAGATTTTTTATTTTTTAAGATTTATTTTATTTATTTTAAAGAGTTACAGAGAGAGGTGGAGGTAGAGAGGTAGGTAGAGAGAGAGAGAGAGGTCTTCAATCTGCTGGTCACTCCCCAAGTGGCCACAACAGCAGAAGCTGAGCTGATCCAAAGCTAGGAGCCGGGAGCCTCTTCTGGGTCTCCCATGTGGATGCAGGGGCCCAAGGCCTTGGGCCATCTTCCACTGTTTTCCCAGGTGCATTAGCTGGGAGTTGGACTGGAAGTGGAGCAGCCAGGATGTGAACCGGCACACACATGGGATGCCAGCGTTGAAGGCCAAGGCTTTAACACACTGTGCCACAGTGCCAGCCCCTACTTAAAAA